CTTCAGCTCCCAAAATTCTGTGAATCACCATTCTGGAAGTTGAGGTACACACATCTTAAAACGTTGAGAAACACCGCCTTAACCACTACTCCACACTTCTCTTATGACTCACAATTATCCCTTTCTGAACCTTTGCCCAATTTGCTGTCAACCAGCAGGACTGCCACTTATCTAAAGGTTACCAAGAACAAGAATAAATTAGGATTTGCAAACATCTATGTGGCAGCTTGCTTAGCTTTAAAAAAAAAAGATCCTTTATCTCAGAATATTTGTGCTTTGTGAAGCAACTTTTTTATTAGCCAATAAGGAAATCAAGGTTTATGAATATTGTTTGTTTTCTTTGTGCCAAATGGTTTTGTAATTCATCAACTACACTGGATTACAGTAATTGATCAAAGCGCCATGTGGTCAATGCTGTTAATAGTTATCAACAGCATGACTCTTGAAGGCTCAAAAATAGAAACAGCCATTAAATTACCAACATCTCAATCACAGGATCTGGAAAGGATTGATACAATTATGCTGCCTTAAGGCAAGTTCCTTTCTTCAGTAATATGGTATATCAATCTTATATTCATCACCCATTCACATATCACACAAGATTATGCCTTATTATTCCTTATCCTCTATTTGCAAATAATTCACAATTTTTACCCTCTGCAAGATTTTTAAGTTTCACTGAAGTAGATAACATTTATTTCAGCAAAAATATAGAATGGGCAAGAGATAATACTTATCATGTTGTATTATATAAAAATATAGACACATTTTTAGTAGCTAAAATATTTCTTGGTGCAGTTGGTGTGCTACGTTCTGATACAAGAAAGTAGGAATGGCTTAAAATCCCATCTTTTTACCTAGGTTTTAATATACAGTAATGCAAAGGTCTTATGCTGCTGGTCTTTAATGTTTATATATTCAGTAGATAATGTGTGTTTGTATCTTTGTTCTAGGTACATATCTATGTCTATATACGTGTAAGAATGTATGTGTATGAATACAATAATATAAAAACCAGTTAGATTCTTAAAATGTAAACTGCTTAGGAAAGCCAGTTTGGTCAAGTGATTAAGATGTTAGATTAGAAGTGGAGAAAACCTCCACTTCTAATCAAAGCTGGCTGGGTGACCTTTGGTCAGTCTCTGTCTCTGTCTTTCTCTTAACCTTAGGAAAAAGGAAGCAAGAACAAACCACTTCTGAAAAATCTTGCCAAGAAAAATGCAGGACTTGTCTAGGTAATTACCAGGAATCAAGACTGTTCGGAAGACATCCAATAAATTAAGCAAGCTGATAAAGAGCCATTTGGAAGTAGATGGCATATAAACATGCAAACTAAAACATTTTGGTTTGGTACATTGGATAGACATACATAGCCAATTATAGGTTATTTAAGACATTATATTTTAACCATAACTTAGCATGATGTCCTCAGTTTGAAGCTCTCAGAAGGTTATTGATTTTTGTATCAGTAAAACAACCTGTACTGATGCCAAAGCTGGTGGATGCCCTGTGGCAAGCGAGTCCCAATAATTATTTCGGTTGAGATCCAGCCTCAAGCCATATGAACTCACCCTCTCATATTCTTTTAGCCCAGCCTGCCTTGCAGGATTGTGGGGGAACTGAGGTATGTAATGATATGTATGTTTTCTTCAGCTCCTAAATGGAAAGCAAGATATAACCCCCCCCCTCCCATGTAACATATTTCAAATGGGTTCCAGAATTTGTTCACCTTGACTTACATAATGAATTATATATCATTATTATATACAATTATAATTATATATAGCTTTGGTGTTTTATAAATCATTGTTCATGGTTTAATATGGTATAATTTACAAACAGATCCAATCTGTTTATTCCAGAAAACCATGACACATGGGCTATTATGTTGTATAAGCCCAGCTAATGGCATTCCTAAGGCCACTTGCATACTTCCTGTGTATTTAATTGTATAGTTTTGTCACTGAAAATCAAAATGGTCAGGATCAGGGTGCTTACACACAGGTTCATCAGCCAAAGGTCAATTCAGTTTCTCAAAATCCGCTTGACATTCCATTGACCATTTCAATGGTTGACTCAGTTTAGGTTTGCTGCTCCAGCATTGGTTTTTTCCACAACCTACCATAACCCAGTAAGGGTCTTTTCATTTAATATTGGGGGGGGAGGGAGGGGGAGAGAGAGAGAGAGAATACACACACACATTCCACTATGGGATTCCACTGAATTCCACTATGGAATTCAGCTTGGGTGAAGACTATTAGGGACTATTTAAACCATTTCCTTTTCTTTTGTCACCAAATCTGATTAATCCACAAATGACCTTGGAACTTTTCCTTCACCCCTTGGGGCTAGCTCTAATGAGGACATCTGGCAGCCTCATGCTGATGGGGGGGGGAGGGATGAGATGGAGAAAAACAGAGAATCTAACACATTCATAAAACCTCTGTCTTTAATGCTGGAGGTGGCCCTAAGAAAGCAGGCAACCTTAACAGGCTGTTGGAGAAGGAGGAAATGTTCCTGCTTTCTACAGGCTTCCTTTACTGGGGGTAAACTTTTTTTGGGGGGGAGGGAAGGTGGACTCCAATAATACCAAATGGAAGTAATATACTAGTGTAGCCATAAAGCTCAGCTGCCATGGCTACAGTCCTGAAACTGAGCCATGCTGAACTCTCCCCTTCCTTTCCAGATCATGTTTCCCTTAGAAAGAAGCAACTTGGGAAGAAGCTTTTCCATTGCAATAGGAAAGGACTTAACTCTCTCGCTGCCTTCCTATGTGCAAGAACCATTAAAAAGGACACTGAAGGTAGAGGTTAGCTGTTAAACCACAAAAGTAGCATCTCTGTGAGAAGGAATAATACTTGCTGCTTTCTTTTTCTTTTTTTTTTAAAAAAACCTCAACAGCTTAATGATTTGTGCTCATGAAAAATAATGTGTAGACAACAGGACCTGCACTCAAATGTACAGGTGGACTACCCTAGGTTAGTGAAGACTGCTATAGATAAGATTCCTCAAATGTCATAATAGCATTAACAGTTAATCTAATCTTGGGTTAATTAAAATTTGGTTTGAAATTGCGGTTCCTGGAGTCACACAATGGAGAAAATATAAGACAAAACGAAAGATAAAAACATCTGGATTTCTTTGCTGTCTGCAGCACATTGTTCTTGATGTCCACTGAGAAAATAATTGTAAAAAAACTCATAGAAATGAAAATCTATTTAAAAGGACTAGCCTTACAACATGAAATTCAATAATTTCGGAGATTGCCTGGACAATCCCTTGTAGTGTTGGTGGCAAAGTTTTTTCAGAAGTGCTTCTGCCATTGCCTCCTTACTAGGGCTAAGTGAAAGTGACTGGGCCAAGGTCACCCAACTGACTTTGTGTTTAAGTCAGAACAAGAATTGGATCTTTATCCATCCAGTTTGTATGTGCATCATAGAGATATAAAATACCTGTAATATATCTGCCTAGTGGAAAAACAGTAGCCTTTGGGAAAACATTAAACCTACAGATCTGGATTCAGGCCTTGCACCACATTCTGCCTAAGGTACATTAATCCAAAGACAATGTTTTAAGTAAGGCAAGGCATATCTAAATTTGGTTCTGGTACAAGCAACTCTTAGGTTTTACAGCATGGTTACACAAATGTGGCCTCTGATATGTTAATGACAGAGCACTATAACTTTAAATGCTGCGCTGAAATCACAGCCTTCATGCTGCCTTCACGTTGTCTTCTTGGGGAATTTAGTTGGCTTTTCTGAGTCTGACTAAACATGACTCCTTTACACTCTTATCCTGCCCTATGTAGTGGTACAACAGAGACCAATTTAATCTCATGGTGGGAGCATGTATACCTCCCAACTCAGCCAGAACCAGAGCAGGCCATCACAGAAAAGTAGAAGTAACTTTATGGTGTTAGTACTGTTTATTTGTGTTGCCTCTTACTAATCATTTCCTAGCTCTTTAATGGGCCCTGATTTTAGAGAAATGGTTCCAATGTTAAATGATAATATAATTTTTTTTAAAAAGTGGTTAAGTATTGTGCTAGGCACTGTAAAGCAGCGAGGTGAGGAGGAGCAACAAAGAGATCTGGAGCAAACCAGTCATAACTAATATTTAGTACTGATGGCTAACAGCATAATCCTAGTCATTACAGATCACCAGCAAATTTAAGATTAATTTAATTTCATACCGACTTGTAGCATTACTTGATTCCCAGCCATGCTGGGAGAGTATATTAAATGTATATACTAAATATGTATTTAATATCCTTAAAATATAAATATGTTACTTAAAATATATTATTAAATTGTGTTAAACAAATCAATTAATACTACATATTCATTTAATTAAAAAAGCTCATTTAAGTGGTTTTCTATTCTATGTAATAGGCACTAGAAGTGGTGCTACAAACTAGAGTTTTGCTACACCTGGTGGATTGCTCGTAGAATACTAAGGGAATTGGCTGATGGTCTTTGCGGAATTTGGAAGAAATGAAGTGCCAGATGACTGGGAGGGACCAAAGATTCTTAGAAAGGGAAAGTAAGTTTCAAGAAAACAGAATAGTGCCATTGGTATCTGGGAAATGGTTTGGGCAGATGATTGACCTGTAAGCATTTTAAACACAATGTGGTAATTACTAGAATTTGGCAAGGATTAAGAACAAATTTTGCTAGGCTGAACTTAATTTTTCATTGGGTAATCCTAGAGGCATAATATAGCTTGACTTTAGAACAGCATTTACAAAGCACCCTAAGATATGCTGAGAATTAAATATGAGTTGGATGGCATGATAATTAAGTGAATATAAGCTGAGCTTCACTAATGTCTTCTCATCAAATTGGAGATTGCCATCTTGCAACAATCAGTTCTTAGTCCTTTACTCTTCAATATTTTTGTGAAAGTGGGGAATGCTTATCAAAATGGCAGATGAAACTGAATTGGATAGGATAGCGCAGATCCTAAATAATAGAAATAAAATCCTATTAAATAAAACTTACTCAATGTTCTGGCTTTCAGGTCTCACTGGTCTTTAAGCTACCGTAATTATCTGGGCTGGGTTCATAGTAGTCAGTACTGTAGATTCTAATGTGTAAAAATAACAGAAGGAAATTAAAAAAAGGAAGTACAAAATGATTCAGTAGGGAAACAAGAGGCACCTACCCTCTGGAATCAGCTCCCCCCAGAGATAAGGAGAATCCAAGACCTCAGTGCCTTCCGTCGCGCCCTTAAAACCCATTTATTTAAACAAGCCGGGCTGGCTTAAGATGAAATTTTTAACTGTTTTTAAATGTTTTAAACGTTTTTAATTGGTAAATGAGTTTTAATTGGGCCAAATTTATATATCTTTTAATTGTTTTTAATATTTGTTCTGCATGTTTTTTAATCTGGCTGTACACCGCCCTGAGTCCTTAGGGAGAAGGGCGGTATAGAAATCCAATATAAATAAATAAATAAATAAATAAATGTAGAGCTATAGAATGGGGGCTATGCTACCTGGCTTCAGTATTAGTTCATTACCGGAAATATAATGTAAAAATCACAAGAAGTAGTTGTTCCAGTGCATCTTGTTCTGGTCCCATTGTACCTGGAGTACAGGGCACCACATTTTTAAAAAAAAAAAAAGTATTTATTTTTAGCCTCCATTTTTATTTTTAAACATAATTCAAGATGGTGAACATACCTTCCTCCTACTTTCCCCACAAAAGCCACCCTGAGATCTGGACTAGGCTCAGACAGAGTGACTGCCGTTTCTAGGCTGATGCCTTAATGATGTCTTAGTGATGCCAATAGACCAAGAAATTGCAGGAGGAGGAAACAAACATAGAAATCAACTCTTTGAAAAGAGATTCAATGGGCCGAGCTGCTTCCAATCGGACAGGCGATCACACAAAAGGTCGTGAGGGATTTAAGCTGTAGAAAAGCAGATTGTAATGAATTGTAGAAAAAACTTTCTAATAGTAAAAGCAATTTGATGACACAATCTGTTACTAGAAGGTATTTGCCTTGGATATTTTAATTTGAATTCTTGTACTGAAGGGGTAGGGTAGATGCAGAGCCTTTCAACAAAAATAGATGGCTTTATGTATTTATCAATAGTTTATGGAAAGAAGAGGTCATCTGTTCTATTTTAAGGGAAGGTAATGCGTTACTAAAATGCTTTATGTCTGTGATATAACTGTGATATAATACAATCCTACATTTCTTGTTCTTTGCTGTATTCTAATTTTTCTTTAATTCTTTTCTGCGGTTTTTGTTTTTTGCTTGGTATAATTGCTTATACTTTTGATGAAGTGGTAAATCATATGTATATACACACCCACTCACCCACATATATATACTGTATGTATGTATGTATGGAGAGAGAGAGAGAGAAAGAGGGAGAAAGATTTACCCCTTCATTTGATTTACCCATTTTTCTTATTCTTTCTTGTCTGAACTTTTTACTTTTTATTCTGTATTAGTTTGCATTAGGTTTTTATTAAATTACAATTAATTATTAAAAGTAGTATTTTTCTACTTAAATTTGGAGCTATATGCAGGTCTGTGTTTTCATTTTTCTATTTCATTTTTCTTACTCAGTTTTGCTGAACTTTCTATTGCAAAGTTCAACAATTGTGAAATATCACACACAGTATTAACAAAAATGGGATTTAATTATTATTTGTTAATCTTTGCAACTATCTTTTGTAACTATCTTTTGCTGTTATAAGCTGCCCAGAATGGCTTAAGGGTTGCAGTCATATAAATCTTTTAAATTAAATACATTGTATTGCATTTTTCCACAAAGGATTCAGTTACCAAGGCAATAAATGCAAAAGCTAACCCTACTGGGCTTTATTCCCATAAAGGGCAACTCCTGTGCATAAGAATGCTTTCTCTGTTAGAAACTGCTGTGTGAAAGATGTAATATGTAAGGCAGAGAAACTTACACTGCAAAACAAGTTTAACAACTTCGAAAACTTAAAAGGCATAATTTGTTGTTCCTTTCCTGAACAGCCAGAAATATAACACCACCAGCCCACCCTTTACTGGTTCAGTTTCTATTGGGACACAGAGCAAATACTGGATATTTATACTGCCTTCACGATAACCTCCAACAATATGACTTAAGTACAAAACAAAAACAAAGAAATAAATAACCCAAAAGCCAAGTTTAATATTCACCAATATTCAGGAATCAAACAACTAATTTGCAAGCCACCATCAGAGTTCATTTATTCTTTACTTCCCTGTTTATCAATCCCTGCTAATTGTGAAGTTCAGCCTGCTTTCTGGTTCAAAGGACCCTAACACAAATATCAATTTGTGACAGGCTATTGCCTATTTTCGGGTTAGTGCACTTTTGTTTTGCTTGTGGGTGATGGATCTCCATGACAAAATAAATGTTGCATTTGACAGGTCTTGGTCTGATCCAAGTAGATAAGGTTATTTCTCATCACATTTGACCTTCTAATCTGCTTTTCAACTATTACTTAATTCCCACCCCCCAATCTTATTTATGCTTTGTGTGAAACATTTCCCCAGCAAATTGGCTTTGCCATTTCTCTCTCAGACCAACCACGTTGCCTTGCTATTTACATGTGCGCTCCTTTTTTCTGTCCATTTATAGGGAGGCATTAAAAACAAGCCAAGACTTTATTGCCAAAGCACACATAGCTTTCATGCTGTTTGAGTCTCTCTGGAATTTTTTTTTTTTTTATAAATAAACATTCCTAGACCAACATGGACTCCGGCCTACTTCATCAATTTGTGTAGCTAAAAGAAAAAAAGTTCAGGTTTCCACAATGGAGATCAAACATTTTGCACAATCTGTCTCCTCATATTACACAACAAATGCTATCATTCATAAACAAATGAAGGTGGTTTATTGGAATATAAACAGCAAATAATCTACTGTCTCATCAGCACAACAAGCTATGACTTTGTGGGTAACTAACACACCCAGCTCTGACTCATTTAGCACATGTAGGCACACACCTGCGCCCAAAGCATTCATAATCCAAAGTAACTGCTCACAGGAAGACAAGAGATAATTGGGATCTGCTGACTCATCCCAGGGAGGATTTAGAATCAGTAGCATAGATGCTAAACTAGGATCACTGAAATAGGGCATACTAGTGCTAGAAAATCTGAAAACAAGCCATCTCCATACCTATTACTCCAGGAAGGGTGCTAATTGTATTAAGATTATATTAACATGAGATTGTATGTTATACTGGATCAATAAGACCATGTACTAGCTTTGGTTTAGTAATTATGTTTTCATTTTTCCAAAGATGGGGTACCAATAACCTAAAAACCTCTCAATTTATAAAATATATTTTATGGTTAAAATACTGAATTAGGACTAGGAAAACCCACACTGAATGCCTCCCACAGGATTAGAAGCTCCAGGTGACTCTGGGCCAGTCACTATCTCCCAGGTTAATCTATTTTATGTGGGCTTCAGTGAAAAGATAAAACAGAAGAGTCTACAGATACTTAATTTAGCTCCTAGAGGAAAGGCAGGGCATAAATTTAGTAAACAAAACAATTTTCTCTCTCTGCAGATTACAATTACATCCCACTTAACAAAAGGGACTGATCTTAGTGTCAAACACACCTTTTCTCTTCCATTCTTTATTTTTTGTCAACTAATGTGCTTTAAAATTTAAATTATTTTGCAACCTTTGCATTAGCCTATTAAAGAAATTGCCTTAAGATGAATTTTCAGTTCATAATGTGTTACCCAGAGACCTGAAATCTCAGAAACATTTACCTTCTAGATAGCAGCATACATTTTCAAACAACTGAAGCCATCGGATTTTCATTTCAAGAGCCCCTTACCCAGTAGTGGGATTCAAATAATTTAACAACCGGTTCTCTGCCCTAATGATTTCTTCCAACAACCATTTCACCAAACTGTTCAGAAAATTAAGAACCGGTTCTCCAGAAGTGGTGCGAACTGGCTGAATCCCACCACTGCCCTTACCCATATGACTGTTGGAAGCATCATTTGATGTAAGGGTTCTGTAGAACAATTATTAGATTTACCCCTTCAGGTACAATAGCCTAGTCAGGTTCATGGCATATCGTACATTGGGTAGACTTCGGAATTCTAACCTTTTCAGGTACTGTTCACAGAACAATAGCAATAGCAGAGGAGCCCAAAACAATTATCAGAGGAAAAAAGCACCATTATATTTCATAAAGGAAATCTTAATTTTCATACAGTCTCACATTGAAATCATTCTTCCTTCCAAAACATTTGTATTCTCAAATATCAATCTTCATGCGATTTGACTTCCACTCTATTATTATCTGAATAGAGATAAGCATTATAGGCAACAATGGAATTCCAAGATCCACTCACAAAAATCCTGAAATCTGCAGTGACTCCTAGCTTGCAGAATACATTTAACCACAGTTAAGACTCAATTACTCAATTTTCTGGCTTTCAGGTCTCGCTGGTCTTTAATTATCTGGGCTGGGTTCCTACAAGTCAGTACTGTAGACTCTGAAATGTGTATTTCAGTGAGTTGTGCAAACACAGCCTTTGAGAAACAAGAAATACACAATCCATAAAGTACTTCCCCTGAAGATCATTCTGAATACTATCTGAAGATGTGGTTCTTATACTGTAACGATCATCGAAAGAGAAGGCTCCTTTAAAACTATTACAGGAATGGCTGGGAGAGTCAAAATTATTGGCTCAGCCATGTGATGTCTCCTATCTGACCTTGGCCGATTCTGAAATACCTAAACCGGATGAGTCTTGTTTAGTACTTTTGATAGATTGGACAATACGCAAGAAAGTAACAGGGCTATGGACTATTAGACCGAGATAAAAATCTCAGAAAGCAACTGTTACTGAGTGTGACAAACACTGCATGGATGTATAGCCAGAAGGTTACCTGGATATGAACCTACCTCAAAAAAAAAAAGAGGACTTTCTCCTTTTACCTCCATTGCCCTCCTCTTCTATGTCATCGGTTGCATCTTCGAACAGAATAATGACCAAATGAAAGCAGAGCTTAGAACAAGCTTTTGGATTAAAATAATAATAATATAATACCCCTAAGCAAAACTTACCAGCACCTGGAAAGAGAACTCATAGGCTTATATATAGATCTGCTTATTCTAGTCAAGATATTTTTAGATGCCTCTGTTCACCCCTTGTGGCCATTTTTCTCCTCCCACTCCTCAAATTTTTCCGAATTCTCAATCTGGAATTTCCCAAATTCCAAATTTGCCTTCCTCAAAAGGAGGAAAGACCGAGCCCAGCCATGTCAACAAGCGGCGCCTTTCTGCCAGATCGGAAGCCTCTCCTTACCCATCTGAAGCCATTGATCTGAAAAGCAAGCAAGGATCCTCCCCGCGTTTCCTTGCAAATTCAGTGGGAAAAGCGCTGGCCGGAAGCACGCAGGTCAATGTTACATAAAACCCATCTTGCAATTGGCTCGGTTTGCTAAAAGGCCAACCTCGCTCCCTTCCCCCCACCCCATTTCCTCCCTTCCCCCCACCCCCTTCCCCCAGTTTTTGAGAAAAAAAGCAGCCAATGGATGGAAGCCGGGGGGCAAAAATAAATAAATAAATAAATCCCCGCGAGCCTTGCGCGAAAGCGATGCCAACCGATGCTTTTGGATCCCATGCAAAACTGTTAAGCTGGCATTCTAAGTCCACGACAAAGACGGGGCACAAGGGCAGCAACAATTAACCACAACCATTAAAGATCCGGATTATTAAACCCCTATATATAAAAAAAAGGAATTTACCCTATTCGCGATGATGAACCTACCAAGAGAGAAAAAAAGGCTACGCTTGCGCAGACTCCCCGGGCCTGTTACCTACCCATTCTCTCTCCTCCCCGGGCAAAGCGAGGCGCATGCGCACTTGCCGCCCATGGAACGGACGGCGGAGGAAGGCCCCGGGGAGGGCAGGAGCCAATCCGTAGCGAGGGGGGGGCGTGGCGTGTGTCAGTTGTTGAAGGTCTGAGAGGGGAGGGGGGGACGACGACGAGGAGGGAGAGAGGGCGGGGCTCCGTTGTCTTCTGTGAAACCGGTGGGAGCCATTCGAGGCCCGGCGGGGCGAGGAGCCGGAGGGGGAGCCGAGCGGGGAAGGGCGGGTCCGACCGAGGCCCGCTGCGGGCTGCTGTGCGCTCTGGGGGCGGTGGCAGGATCTCAAGGCCCAGCCCTGCCAGAAACAACATGGTGTCGTGCATCATTTCCCGAGTCGTTGTGTAAGTAAAGGAAAGGAAAGGAGGTGGGTGCCGGGATGGCAGGAGAAGGAACGAAGGAAGGAGGGAGGGAAGGAAGGAAAGAACGAAGGAAGGAGGGAAGGAAAGAAAGGAAGGAAAGAACGAAGGAAGGAGGGAAAGAAAGGAAGGAAAGAACGAAGGAAGGAGGGAAGGAAAGAAGGAAGGAAGGAGGGAGGGAAGGAAAGAAAGAAAGGAAAGAACGAAGGAAGGAGGGAAGGAAAAAGGAAGGAAGGAAAGAAGGAAGGAAAGGGAGAAGGAACGAAGGAAGGAAAGAAGAAACGAAGGAAAGAGAAGGAAGAAAAGGAAAGGAACAAAGGAACAAAAGAAGGAGGAAAGGAGGGAAGGAAAGAAAGAAAAGGAAGGAAAGAAGGAACGGAGGAAGGAAGGAAAGAAAAGAAGGAAGGAAAGGGAGAAGGGACGAAGGAAGGAAAGAAGAAAAGAGAAGGAAGGAGGGAAGAAAGAAGAAAGGAAGGAGGAAGGAAGGAAGGATGGACGGCCGAGTCTCTTCTTCGTGGGCCCTTCTCGCTGGCGCCTCAGCCAGCATGAGGCTCCCCGGAAAGTGAGGGAGCCGGTGGCTACTCCCAAGCATCCCTTCCTGGGTGAGAAGGACCGCTGGTGGCTAGGATGTACCAGATCTCCCCCCCCCCCCCCCCCCCCCGCTCGCTTGGCTGCTACTCCCCTCTGGAGGTGGCCCCGTTGGGGAGAAAGGCCCGCGAGGCCCCATTGGTGGCTACTGGAGGCAAAGAGGGAGGAGGCACCTGCATATTTCTTCTCTTAGCAACGGTGCACAAGAGGGGCTACTGTTGCCTCCCCCGCTTTTTGGGGGGGGGTTGACCAATCTACCCAGTTTGGCATAATGGGTAAGGTGCTGAAAAAGGTGAGTTGGATGCCTGCCTTAAGATATGAAAGCCAGCTGGGTGAGCTTGGGCCTCTCTTTCTCTCTCTCAGCCCAGCCCACACCTCACAGGGTTGTTGTGGGGAGAAAAAAAGGAGCAGCATATATAGACTACATTCTTCAAAATGAAGAAGGTCTTCTCCAGTCACGTAAGCCTAAGACTGAAAATGAAAAAGGCTTGCCAGATGTTATATCTTTTCTATCCTGCTCTCCGGAGTGGAGAGTTGGTCTCTGACAGAAAGCCATTTGAAGAGATTAGAAGCATTTGAAATGTGGATTTACAGGCAGGTATTGCGTATAAGGTGGGTTAACAAAATCACAAATGAGGTGATAAGCCGCCTGGGAAAGCCAAGGGAAATCATCAAAACCATTAAAAAGAATATTTCGGACATGTGATGTGACACGTAGCATCCTTCACTTAATCCTCCAAGGAAAGATTGAAGGTAAATGAGGTCCAGGCAGAAGAAGAACATCATGGCTTCCAAATCTAAGGGACTGAGTTTTGGACAAAACTCAGCAGCACTTTTTTGTGCGGCTGCTGATAAAAATAGGATCGCCAACATGATCGTTAATATCCGGTGATGGATATGGCACAAGAAGAAGAAGAAGAAGATATAGACACTAACTTTAAATTGTACAAAATAAAGGCAAGGTATAAATATAGTAATCATATTCTATAGCTGTGGGATTTCCTGGTGGCTCCCTATCTGAGCATTAACCACCAGATCTAGTCCCATTTAGTTTTCTAAAATGATCCAAAGTCAGCTATCTGTTGTGCTTTTTGTGGAGGCTTTGGTGCTTTTCTGAGCTTGTTTGTTTGCACACATTTCATTCCCAACTTAGGTGACATCATCAGTACTCACTGACTAATTTGTACTGATGTTAACTAATTGGGTAATAATAAAACATCTCCAAACAAACAGTCAAGCTCAGAGAACATCAAGAACTCTACAGTTAAATCCTGTGCTACATAATTTCTTTTTCTTTTGGTTGTCATTCTTCCTTTTTGCTTTAAACCTAATGCTGTGTTTTATAGATGCTTGCTGCAATTAGCTGGTAGGGGACACCCTGGAGCAGGGGTCTCCAACCTTCGCAACTTTAAGCCTGGCAGACTTCAACTCCCAGAATTCCCCAGCCAGCAAAGCAAAGTTGGCTTAAAGTTGCCAAGGTTGGAGACCCCTGCCCTGGAGTATGGGCAACTTGAGGTTAAGACCAAGGCTGCACAACAGGTAGAGGGGAAGGGGCTACATTGATAAGTGTAAAATAATTGTTGGCTGCAAAGGAATACCTTTGCACAGTGACCAGCTCATTCTTAGCTAGAATTAGCAGGTGCAGTGCTGAATCTGGCAGTGGATGGTGAGGTTTGGAGGTGCTCAGGAGCGCATCTTTAGGAGGATGATAAATTTATTACTTTAAAAAAAATATTAGTGAGCCATACGAGGCTCCAGCATGGGGAGGTTCCCATGCTGTGCAATACTGGTCTAGACTTTGTATTGTTAAAAGATTTCAGACTGAATGTAAGTGACCTGTACATCTAATATGTGCTAGTGCAGTGATGGCTAACCTTTTCGGAACCGATTGCCCAAAGGGCATGCGTGCATGTGTGAATGTGCGTGAACACCCAAAATGCAATGCGTGCACAGCCCCGCACACGTACCCCCCTCCCACACTTGCCCCACCCCCCATGCGTGCCCGCACACATCCCCGCGCATGCGCGGCAGAGACCTGAAGGCTAGCTGCCCGGTGGGAAGCACACATATATGCGCGGTGGAGCTGAACTGGGGTGACGGCTCGTGGGCCATCAGAGAGGCTGCTGTATGCCATCTCTGGCACGTGTGCCATAGGTCGCCATTGTGGTGCTAGTGAGATGTGAAAGTTAAGAACATAGGTTTGAATTCACGATGTTGCAGTAATTAATACAGATTTAGATCTTCAGATTTATGAAAACTGTTTATTAGCATTATAATGATGGGGATGTTAAGCAATTGGCAATAATGGGTCTTAACACTTTGGGTCCTCAATGTTTCTTCCTATCTTTTATATACTTTTCAAGTATATAAAAATGAACAGTAATTATGAGTGAAAAATCATTTTCTAAATGTATTGCTATTCCCTAATGAATCTTACAATATCTGAAGTAATGATATGACAGATTCTGGAATTGATGCTATGACTTTTAAAAAAAAGAAGCCCCCAGAAATTGGAACCCTGTGCAAACAAAATAGTGGCTTTAATTCTTGCTAATGGATTTGGACATTAAAACTATCATCATTTAAACGGAATATACGGTACATGGTCTACCAATCTTGGCACTGATTGGCTATGGCATTTATTCTGTGCTGGTTACAGAGAACTGAGATCTGTTTGTGTTCTTATATGGACAATTTTTACACTATAGCAGCACCAAAAAGAATCCTTTAAAAAAAAAACCCACAGATATTATTTTATATTAATCACAAAGATTATGTGATTCACATGAAAGGAGCTTAACACTTAACGTGAAGACGCTTCAATTATAATCAAGACATTTTGAGCCTTGGTATTATATGAGCAAGTAATTAAATGGTAAGTTCCTGTTTCTTGGAAGCATATACTGAAGTAATAAGCATGTTTCAGACATTGGAAATTTTGTAGTGATGAATCCAAGGTGGAAATTCTAGACCAGTCCGAAGCTGATAGTGTTATAACCAGGAGTGGGTTTCACTTACCTTTGCCACTTCTGCGTATTTGATTATGTCTGGGAAGGTGGGCAGAGTCTCCTGCCGCCGCTGCTACCAGTTCGCCCAAATCCGGGTGAACCGGTAGCAACCCACCACTGGTTATAATTTTAAAAAACTTTTGAATTGGCACCATAGTAAACCCTGATATGCCTGAAACATTTTGAAATACATTCCCGTGAAACCAACATTCAGTTATTTGGTAATCTTGTCTCTAAAGATATATTTGAAGAAAAAAAGAGTCGAGCACAGCTATCAAGCTTAGAGTCAAAATCTGTACTAAAGGAAGAGAGTTGCCGCCCTGCCAAGAGACTGTAAAATGGCCAAGAATGGCCACTGTAAAATGGCCAAGACATGAATCTATGGCCAAAGGACAACTAAGATATGGAAATAATATTGCATTTGGGGCAACTTGTATCAGATTGGCAAATAGCCATATTCTGGCTTCTGTGAAAAGTTTGAGACTGGCTAAAAGATCAATTAGAGAGCAAAGCATTTTTATGCCAAAACTGGACGTTGAAATAGCCGTTTGAAAGAAATCATTGTTGGACAATCATATTACAAAATGGCACTAGAAGTGGTGTCTGAATTGGGACTAACTTGATTAGAGATCAAAACTATTCAAGAACCAGCCGGCAATGAACAACATTGCTTTACTCTGGTGATGAAAATGCAGAAGTCATCAGGCAGGGGTGAAATCCAGCAGGTTCTGACAGGTTCTGGAGAACCGGTAGCAGAAATTTTGAGTAGTTCAGAGAACCGGTAGCGGAAATTTTGAGTAGTTCGGAGAACTGGCAAATACCACCTCTGGCTGGTCCCAGAGTGGGGTGGGAATGGAGATTTTGCAGTATCCTTCCCCTGAAGTGGGGTGGAAATGGGGATTTTGCAGCATTCTTCTCCACCAAGCCACACCCACCAAGCCATGCCCACAGAACCGGTAGTAAAAAAATTTGAATTTCATCACTGGCATCAGGGTAACCTTGTCAGGGATTATACCTGTCAGAATGCTTTCAATGCAATTTAATCATAATATCTGGTGATGTCAATGTCCATATGGGAGGAGATAGGATAAATTGGGAAGGAAACCTTTGGAAAATTTGGCATAGATGAAACAAATGAAAATGATATCGGATATTATAATTTGCAGCAGTCAGTGACTTATAGTGGGAAGAACCATTTTGGTTTTACACATGGGGTGTGTGTGTTAGAGACAAAGTGCAAGGACACATAAATCCTATACTACTTCTATACCCAATTCCAGTCTATCAAATATATATGTGCAATGTGAGGTGCCGATTATGCAAAAAATAATCTTAAATTCCAACATGTAAACCTGATACTGCTCGATGAAATGGACATGAAAAAACTCC